AGCTTTTTCAGAATAAAGCGAACAGATGCCACTTTCTCAATTAAAGGCGAGTCTTAATTTGCAATGTACAGCTATAAACAAACAAATTTATGCTGTTGTCTTTATTGTTCAACAGAGAACTGCAGTTCAGAGTCATTTTATGAAAAATGCTGGATCAGAGAAAGTGGCGAGCATCGTAAAACCGCAACCCCATCTGTGTGCATGGTCGCGTGGTAAAACCCTAACTATTCATGGCCATATGTCCCAAACAGAGAATGCCATCTCAGACTGACAGAGCTGTTTAATAGCAATGGTAAATGGCTCACTGAAGTGAATGTATTAAATGGTTTACTGTGCTGGTATCAAATGTGTGTATTATAATGATTTGATGCCTCTTTAGACCAATGAAATATTTTCTAGGTCTCAAGTTGCTCATTGATGTGAAGGCATGTCATATAGAAATAATCAAAATATTGATAACCTAAATGGTCTAAAATGATTCAAATCACACTTACTTTGTAATGTCTTTTAATATTCCAGGAGATTATTTTATTGCATATGCCTTAATTAAAAAAAAATAAAACTGCGACAGTCATTTAAAATACAATGGAACATTGACGACAGTCGGAAAAGTATTGGCTACGTTCAAGATAGCATACTAACATACAACTTTATTTATATTTCTTTTTAATGAGTCAGTCAAAAAAATATTCATGAAACAGCCTCAAACCTAAGTTAATGGAGTGAATCAGGTTTACTCAGTCAGTGACTCATTCAGAGGCATGATTCTGGCTTCACAGCTGACTTCTTTACTGAACCACAAGTCATTTTTCAGTCATGTTTGATTCAGAATTCACCAGGAAATATTAGTGAGATGGTGTGATTTTTTATATGATAAGAGTGTAAATAAATACACATATTTACAATAGAGTTTTGTTATATAAATTCATAATTCCAAAAAAATAAAAAGGCATACTTTACGAAAATATTATTGGTTATAAAATTGACTTCCCAAAAAAGACAAACCATTTAATGGTACAAATATATTTAGGATCAGACTGGCCGCATCAAATTGGAACAAATTTTTATTGACCAAATTTGGAAATTAATGCTTGTATTCAACAAAAATGAATTTATCAAGCGTGACAGACTTTTATGTTACAAAATATTCTATTTTAAATAAATGCTGCTCTTTTGAATGCTCTATTCATCAAAGAATACCGATTTTTTTAATCAAGATTTCCACAAATATATTAAGCAGCACAACAGTACTGATTTGTACAATTGATAATTAAAAAAAAATTCTTAAGCAGTACCAAATTTATGATTTCTGAAAGATCATGTGACACTGAAGACTTGAGTAATGAAGCTGAAAATTCAGCTTTGCCATCACAGGAATAAATTGCGTTTGAATTATATATTAAAATGCAAAACATTACTTAAATTGTAATTATCATTATTACTGATTTATTTTAAATTATAATTATCAATTTTAGATAGTTTTTTCTTTTATCAAATAAATTATTTTGTACATAAAAAAAAATACAAATCTTTCTGGAGTCAAAAAAATTTTTTTTTTTTTTAAATATTTAAAAATTGTCTGGAGCTCTAACTCCAGACTAATCCAAATAATAACTTTTTTTTAATTGAGGATGTCCCTGGATGTCCCTAAAATAAGTTTTTGTCCACTTTTACACACTTTTGTCAACAAATTTGTCTCTAAACTATAGCCATGTAAACCCTCACACACACATACACGTGTATTTGTGCGTCTAGGGCAAAGTCAGGACAAGGGCCCCTGTGGGAAAAACACACAAACTTCTTCCTGCAGTGACTCAAATCAATCCTACTGCAAAGCGTGAGCCGGTAGACATTCCTGTATCAATGAGCCTGGGTCACCAATAAGACCAGGACGAACAAGTACAACGAACGAGAGAGAAAGAAAAACAAGAGGTGGACTGAAGGGGGGAAAAAAAGAAACTAAAAAGAAAGAAAACAACTACTTTGGATTTTCAGCTTGCAAATAAAAGAGAAAAGTAATCAATCATGTTTGAGCCGTTTAATTCCCGGGCTGGTGTTCTGGGCAGGGGAAGAATGAAATGGGACAAGACTAGAATATGCAAAGTTGTGTGCTCTTTCAGAAGAGTTGCTGGGAGGGGAAACACGTTAAGAAAAGACAAATTGACATTCCAGGGGAAAACAAAGGCCTGGTAAACATTTACTGTCACAAACACTAATTAATCTCCTTGCCAGCTACTATTAATCATATATTAATGAGATTGTCTCTTTGCTTTGCCTGATCCAGGATCCCTCCTAGGTACTACAGGCTTTGAAAGCCAGACATCCACGACTCAATTAATCTTGCAGCACCTGGTCATAAAAGACAGACTTTATATTAAAAGCAAATAGTCAGAACATTTAAACTGTCCATATCTCACCACATTATCACATCAAAGTCAGAATAAGACAATAAGTTCATTCTTCAAAGGAATAAACTGTCCGATGACAAAATTCCAACTAGGAAATAATGAAGTTGCATTGTGCTCATCAATGTTGTATACTATAACTGGCATCTATTCATCAGCATTTTCAGTTTGTTTGTTTTTTGGGGGGGAGGAGACGACTTTTTTGAATTATGTTGTCTAGATGTTACAGAATGCACCAAAACCAGTACATTACAGCATGGGAGTCTGAGATGGACATATTTAACGTATAAAGATTCATTAGGAACATCAATCAAGCTGAATTTGAATGCAAGCAACAATTGAACCGTCATAGTTGCAATGAAGATGTCTTTAGACTGTCCTTTAGTTTCCAGGGAGCTGATGTTTTGGCCTCCGTTGGGTGGCTTTACTCAAATGAAAGCTCATCTGTCAACTGTCAAGCGCTTTACAATGTAGATATCCCACAATGCATCACTCCTCTTACCATTTCCTCATCTCATTTTGCTTCTTTCAGCTCATTGTACTTCAGTAGGTATGGAACTGGGAAACAATGGCAACACATGGAAAAGTAGCTATAGGATTTCTACAAATTATTTGTATAAGCAATAAAGCAAAATGCAAAGTGTACTTTCTCAGCCTGGCATAACTATTGGTCTTTGCTACGGTTTGGCTCTTTGACTTTCTAAAGACCAAATGGCTGCACATTTCTTTCGAGTGGTTATCTAGAGGCCACACCACCTACACCTTCGAGCACCTGACCTGTGCATCGGCCCGGCAGAAATGTTTATCACACTTTGGGCATTTATAAACTGAGGGAGTGCATTAAACAGAGGAGTCTGTCACTGCATGCTGATGGAGGGAGCTGCTTTGCTTTCTAAGCTGTATGTAGATCGGCAATGGGGTCAGCCAGCCTATACACTCTCCTCGACACATAGTACATACTAATACAGGGCATGGCCTTAAACACACAAGACAACGCATTGAAATATGCTGTGGAGTTACTTTAAATTGTATGAAAGTATTCACGTTATTTGAAACCCATGAATCAAACTTTTTTGTGTGAAATGTTTCATGTATAGTGAGAGTTGATAAAATAATTTTACAAACAATTTCTACTTGCTGTTCTTTGGAATTTTTCAACTCATAAAATAATCCTTTTTTGGCACATTGATGATAATAAACATTAATGATAATATCATCAATCCACATTAATGATACAAAAAAAAAAAAAAACGTATCTTGAGCACCAAATAAGAATGATTTTTGAAGGATCATGTGACACTGAAAGCCTTGCCATTACAGGAATACATTTCATTTTAAAACAATAAAATTTTCACAATTTGAATGTTTTTTTTTGATCAAATAAATGCAGCCTTGTTGAACATAAGAGACTTATTTCAAAAGTGAAAAAACCTTAATGGTAGTGTTTCTATATTTAACTATGGCTTAAGTGTCCAAAATACTTTTTAGGGGTCACTGTATACCCTTTTCAGATTAAACCACCCAAGACTGCAATGACTGACACGCATCATTTGTGGATCATGAAAATAGTTTTCACAATAATTTCCTCTGTACTGCTCCAAAGGTGCTATTTTCATATCAAACGTGTATTTATTTTCAGTGGCCCTCAGAGATTATTGTTGCATTTAAAAAGAATCATTAATCAGCCCATGAATAACAAATAATCGAGTTGTTTAACAGATTACCATTTCCCCCCTCCCCCCCACACACATCTTCAATCCCCCCTCAGAGCAGCCAGACACGTCATATATGGCAGTCCATAATTCCATAATTGTTCAGCACAAAGAGTTAATATACACAGTGATGCTAATGAAGTGAAACTCATCGGCCCCTCGGCGGAGGAGACCTGCTGTTTAATTACCTTTTAAAAAGTCGTTTGATAGTTGCAAGAGGAGAGCCGCTTTTTCAAAGGGAACAATGACGAGCCTGTTGAGAGCAGGGGTTTGTCTTTCAAATCAAACTCCAGTCGACATCTTCCGGGACCGAAGAAAACATGTGTAAAGACTTTCTGAGCAGCGTGAGCCGAGTTGGCCCTAACCTTTTCTTGTTCTCTCCGTCTCTCTGTGATCTTCACAGGTCACATTTAATGCTTCCCATTAAACGGATAAACTCTGGGTTGGAATTAAATATGAATCTGGGAGGAACGATCATAATGAAGCACTTAAGAGGGCCATTGGCATAATCAGACCAAAACTAGATCCCATTTCCATCCGTGACCTAAAGACACTGACACTTATTTATAATAATGGCTGCCGCACGGGGTGATGACATAATAAACCTGCGACCCCGTGGCTGGGTTTGTCACAGATGTGTCGTTTAATGGCAAATACACTCTCTAATTGGTTTCCCAACCCCAAAAGAGATGGTGGGACATGGTTTGAACCGAACTGATGGGTGCACTCACGTCCTTCCTTGGCGCAATCCAGGGAGAGTGACAGAGATATATCTTCCTCATGTGCCCCATGGGGGTGTCTGATGGCTTAAAAGCAAGGTACGAACACAAAAACCCCATCGACCTCTGGACGGGAGATGGGAACATATGTGATGGGACTCAGAGGAGGTGGAGGTGAGGAGCCCAGAGCTGTCCGAGCAGTCCTGACAGCTGATCTCGCCGAGGGCCTTTTCGCAATGACTGTTGCTTTAATTAAGGGCAGTGCAAAGAGAGGTACTCGCCTACCTTAGCGCTTTGAGAAAACGGTGCTACGTGCTTGTCCACAGTCATGTCAGTGTTTGTATTCTCGCTGAAGCGTGCAGGGTACAGGCTAGCGTAGTTTGCTTCAGCCCAAGCTCCCTCGCTGCGGAGGAATGACTCAGCCGGCGCAGGCATGTTTGTGGAGCGCTCGAAAGAAGCTTGTAGCTGTGTGGTAATGTCAACGCTAATGTTATGATTACTTGGGCCGGGGCCTTTGATGACACGGTTAATGAGAAGTCTTGGGGTCCGACCCAGCGGGGTGAAGTTAAGACCTCCCACATCAAACAGTCGTAGTGCTGGCCAGCCATCCACCCACATCTTCCATCTCAGTGGACTGCTCTGGAAAAAGCACATTTCTCTGGAGAAATTCCCTCCTTCCTCAAGCCATTTAGGCCTCTCTGTTCATACCAGTGGAGGTTCACGGAGGGTCCTGCAGACAACATACTTTAGCAGTTGTCATATAAAACAACAAACAAGTTGAGTTTTCATGGGCTTTAAATTGAAAAGTTACTGGGGAGTGCATTGCTACTTGACCCTAAAATTTCACTGAAGTGACAAGGAAGGTTTATATTACTGGCAACTAACTTAAGTTGTTATAAAAATGACGTGTTTAATCTCTACAGGTACATTCCATTATAAAAACTGAATGTGCGTGAATCTTACAGGAAAAAAACAACATAATATTTTAATTTGAAGTGTGTACATTTTGCATTACTAGTCAACCCTCTACAATGTGAGTTAAGCTACGTCCACACCGTCCAAATCCACTCATTTGTGTATCCGATTGTGTATCGCAACTGTTCAGATCCGATTTGTGCGAATATGAAGCTCTTTCATTTTCTGGAATATCTGGATTGTCTTCTATGGAAATGACATTGCGTTGGTAAGAGAGGGTTTGCATGGAATAAATGTTGTCTTATTTAAATTAACTGTCTTATGAGACAGCGGCAGAACCATAGGAGGCTGATTTTTTCCGGTCTGTCATCTCCGCCGGTTCCAAAATTTGTCTCCATTATATTGTAATTTTCTGCTCGTCTGGCACTTTGCAACAACACAACATTTTGTTTCACCAGCAACTTTGAGCATGTTTCCTATAACAACGTCTAACGTTTAAATTATACCTGGTGTGAGAAAGTCGTAGTGAGAAAGTCGTATAAACCACGCAAAATCCAATCAGAACAGTCAGACTGAAATGGATTTTCAGAAAAGCGATTTGAATTGGATTTCAATCCACATATGGATATAGCTTCTAACATATTTGTTAAAAATAGCATTTCATGTGATTTTTTTGCCGTTCACACTAGCTAAATCTGATTGGATTTCAATTGGATATGCACAAAAACTGGATTTGGACCGACAGTCTTATTGTAGCTGAGTAAACTCATTGGTACCTAGTCAACCGTTCTCTGAGATTTGTTTTCATGATAATCAACTGTAAAGAGTTTTATCTCTTTGAGTTTTAGAACTTTGTTTTAGAGTTTTAGAACTTGTTGTTCGTGGTTCGACTTGTCGAGACTGCATACATGAAATGGATTGTCTATAAAGGATCTTCTTATTAAACGGTCTGTACACTTACAAAGTTCTCAATGCTTCGTTTTGCATGAAAGGACCCTTATTATGTTACTGTGTTAGTGTGGGTCTATTTTGAGCCTTGTTAGTGGTATTAATAAGCAATTTCTTTATACTTATTAAATGCCCCCATATACTAGCGTTATACGCTAAACAGTTTTTAGAGATGAAACTTTTTACATTCGATTATCATGAAAACAAATCTCAGAGAACGGTCGACTAGGTACCAATGTGTTTTTAGACCAAAGGTTCATTTTGTGCCGGAGTTCTCCTTTAAGATTACAAAACTAATAGTTCCGGTCCTTGATTCTGGTTAGTTGAGCCACATTTGAATCCATTGTAAATTACTCTACCAACCTACACTAGTGACCTCACTTTTGTTGCCGTGTGTTTACTTTATGAATAAAACATAATAATATAATAATAATATATATATTTTTTTAAAATGGACTAACCTCCACTCTGCGTCGTGTCTAACCCCCCTTAGCTGTTCTAAATTCACTGTAAACCACTGTAAATGGGGCTTATTGCTTTAACTAACATACTAAAAGACATATCAGTCTTTTTTTTGGAAATCAAGCATTTGGTCATTACAATAATAGTCTTTGCTTCTAAATGCATCTGTTAACTGTTGTTATCAAGGAAGTTTTATTCATAAAGTCTCCCCTTTGTAGACAATCTAAAATGTTGCACCAGAATCATCCCTTGTAGCCAGTATAACCGGATCAAGCCTATGGTTCACATATATTGTGCGGCCCTGAATGGAACTGCAAAATGATAATAATAATGGTTTCACAAACACACCTCCCAACCCCAAACTAATGCCATTGGTTGATCCAGTGTTGCCATATCAGGTTGGTCGGAGTACTCTAAACAAACAAACAATGTTTCGATAGCACTACAAAGCCCTTTCTGCTAAATCATCCTACAAATGGCAATACATCCTTCAGCTTTAAGTCTAAATTAGACACACCAGACAGAGTCTAGTCAATGTAAACTGATGCGATTCCACACAACCAAAAATGAATCTGTGACATTCCTCAAAGGTGTTGTATGACATAATGATCATGCTACTAATTGCATCCATAATTAACTCACAGCTGTCCCTGCTGATGACAGAGATGGTTCATCTCAAGGGGCCGGTTAGGAGGGAGCAAGAGTGAGAGCGTGTTCGTCTTGTCACTCTGATGTGTGCCTCACGTTTCCCCTCGTGGAGCAGTTCACCTCCTGGGATGCGCTAAGCTCCACATAGGGATTCATCCCACTGAAGGCTAGAAAGTCAAGGAGCGCAAATAATGAGAAAGGACATGGGAGGGGAAGGGGAGAGGGGGTGTGTAAGAGGTGGAGGCAGAACAAATGCCCGGGCCTAACCGTGATCTAAGCCCCTGGATGAGCCTCTACAGATAAGCAATGCCATGTCACTGCCGCAACACCGTCAAGAGGGTCTTGTCCGTAGCCAAAGCTCTCTCTCAAGCACACACACACACACACGCATTCAAACACACACTCTGACGGAGATCATGCCCTTTTGTTATGTCTTTTGTTTTTTTCCAACCTCCTCTACTAAAAAGTTTACTCAGCTTTGGAATCACATCTCGCAGATGGCCGCTCTGCGCAGGAAAGAACCATCATCGTGCAGGGAAAATATTATTGCAGGCCTGACCTCCGTTTGAAAGTGTTCCCATTGAGTGTTTTTATGATTCCCGGAGAAGTACACCCCCCCTGAGAAATTATCATCCTCATCAAAGTCCATGATCTTCAATGGCCACGCTGAGTAAACACGCTCTTAGACACTCGTCGTACTTCCACAATAATCAATATGGCACATTTCGTCCCGAATACATAATAAACAAACGTACAAAATGAACACATTGCTGGCGAGTGGACGATTATTGTCCAGTGCTATTTTTGGACAGCTACACAGTTCTCTCAGGGGCATGTAAATTTATTGCTTACAATGTTATGCTTGTGTTCAAATATATTTTCAATTCATTTTTTTTTGTCACGTGCGTCTTGGGATTCAAAAATGACCCGCTTTTGACATCTAGATAAATTAACTGCCCTATTTGAGGACATAAAAGGCTCCGTGATGTTTGCTCAGAGACGAAAATGTCCTCTGTTGTTTGCTTTAGACGATGCTCAAGTGATGAACATCCGTCCACACATTTACATCAAAGTGAGTTTTCAAATGGAGGGGCTTGGGAAGTCTATTTGAATACTCAGTATGACAATCCCGTCTGCCTCAGAACTGAACCTCATAGGGGGGCGTCTGTGTTTGTTGCTTAAAGCCCTAATTGGACCTTCCTCCCTTTTTATTACCGACTGCTCCACATATGTGACTGAAACCAGACAGAGAGAGAGACGGAACAAATTTATGATTTTCTCTGTGGTTTTTGTGTGTTTATGATTTTCTCTGTGGTGTGTGTGTGTGTGTGTGTGTGATAGGTCTGTTGGATAAGATTACACAGCTTATCTGTCTTTGTGTTATGTCTTTTGTCAGCCCTGAAGGCGAAGGTGTGCTTGGGAGCGACAAATATCTCTCTAAATGCCCAGGCTAGAGAGAATAGATTTGCCTCACTTGTTATGTAATGTCTGGTGCAAGTGTATGGTATCTAGTAGCTCTCGAGTTCAAATTACAAAATATAACTTAGACAAAATTAATCAAACCACCAGAATTAAACAACAATCCAAACATCATAATAATACAGTAAATAAATAAATGATCTGTATTACACTTTGTCACTTACGATGCTTGCACAACATGAAAATGAAATGCAAGTCAATATGTTAATTCCTTGAGTGACTCAGCTCTCCAAAGAAACAGTCTGAACTGCTCTGTTAGGAATTTACTTTCAAAGACAACACTGACTAATCGCCTGACCTGCCCTCGCAGGCTCAATTGATTTGCACGGATCAAACCTTAAATCATGCAATTTAGTCTGCAGTCACATGGCATAAACTTATGACATTTTAAATGAAAAGCACACAACTGAAAAGGTTAAGTGACAACATCTGCCATACACCGATTAAGCAAGGAAAAAGAATAATGTTTTGAAAACTACAAATGTTGAAGCAATATTTGGACATACATTATCCAGTGTGCTACTATGGGCTATTCAATATAATACAATTCCTATATAATAATAATAATAATAATAATAATACAATGTAGTACTATGTATTATAGCTAATATGTGTATATTAAACTACATTTTTCATTTAACATTATTTTTTTATAAATAAAGTAGTTGCAAACAAAAGTTTAAGATTTAAAGAGTTTAAACAGTTTTAATTGCAGTTGTGCATCATTGCCTAAACAAAATGATTAAATTTAATTCAGTATACACAACAAACACTGACATACCTCTATCTCTGATATGAAATGTAAAAGGATAAGGAAAAATAAGCTTGTACTTCCCTCTGTAAACTACAGATGGCAGTGTAAGGAACTGAAACTATTTTTTTCACCACAAACTGAGACTTGTACTGGGTCTATATTCTGTAATTTGGCACAATATCAAGATAAATGCACAGCTTTCAAATGTGAAATTCAGAATGCCATTACAAAACCACTATCTCAAATGTTATTTATTGACTGACCAAAAATAAACACGCCTCTGTGTTGGCTCATATGACATCAGCCCAGTGAAAATATAAGTGCTTATACCCAAAACCGATATTGAATAGATTTTAAATACATAAAAGAAGATTAAAAACAGCAACCAAAAATGTAATAAAGAAACAAATAAATAAATTTTTTGCATGTAAATATTATACAGTGCACTGCTTTTTACATTTTTAATAGTGTAAAAACATTTTTATTTTATTTTAAAGAAAATACTAACTTTTTTTAAGCAAAAA